AGAGAAAGAAGGCCCAAGCGAGCGAGCGGTGAGGCGGCCCCTACCATCGTGCTCTTCGATATAGGGCTTGGGTTTCTTTCTCAATTTGGGTTTCTTCTTATTGGTCCTTTCCAGGATTTCTTTAATGTGCTGGGTCACTGGGAAACAAACAAAGCGATGAAGACAAGGGGATGGAACGGGGGGGGGAGTGAAACTGGGGGTGGAAATGGGAAGGAAAAGACAAATGAACACTGAAACTGGAAAATAAAGTGAAACTGTAAGTGAAAACAATGGAAGTTTAAAAAAAATAAATCGGAAAATAAAAGGGAAAAGACAATGAAATTCAAATGAAAAGAAAATTAAAAAATCAAAAATGAAAAAGAAATAAAACACAAATGAAAAGAAAAAGAAATAAAATTGAAAATTAAAAGAAAATAAAAATAAAAATGAAATAAAATCAAGCTGAAAACAAAACTGAAAAATAATTAAATAAAATAAAAAGAAAGAAAATGAAACTGAAAATAAAACTGAAAAAAATAATAAAATGAAATAAAAATAAATGAAAATGAAAATAAAGACTAAAACCCATCGGGTGACGGCTGGCGGGGCCGGGTGGCAGAGCACGGCTGGAGCGGAGCTGAGCGCAGGCACGCTGCTGAAGGGGGGCTCGGGGGAGAGCCTCTCCCGGCGGAGCGCTGGTTTCCGCCACCGGCGCGCCGAATCCAGCGTGAGCGCGGAGATGGCGACGAAATGAGCTTGACGCCTCCGCTGCGGGCGGGCTGGGGGGACGACACCTGCCGTCGGTGCCACCATGGTGGGGGTCTTCCCCCCCGGTGGGACCCACCCGTGTGCCGGCTCCAACCGGGCACGCCGGCGCCGGGGCCGGCTGCCCTCGGGGACGCTCTCGCACGCGGGACTTTCTCGCCCACCCTACGCCTTCCTTTCCCCGTGGACGCCTGGGTTGGGTTCATCTCCTCTTGTCCCCAAGCCGGCCGGATCCACCAGGGCTCCGTGTGACGCCGGCGTCGCCCAGACCTCCTGGCTTGGTCCCTGGGGAGCCGAAGGGCACCCGAAAACAACAGTCCTACAATTCCCACCCATTTGGGGTCAACTAGCCCAAATTTATGTCTCTTCTATCTGCCGTGACCAAAAACCACCTCGGGAGCTGAGAATCGAGCTGGCTCCCCTTCCAGCATGGGTTTTTTTTTTTTGATCCAAAGCTACTCGAGAAGCCAGAAGAAGCATCTGGAGATATCAGAGAATCACAGAACGGTTTGGGTTGGGAGGGACCTCTAAAGGTGTCCTCATGGGCCAGGCGAGGTCCTGGGAACTCTCGCTTATGGCCACCCCCAGCCGAGGTGACGCTGAGCCTGCAGCAAAGGTGTCAAAGCTCATTTCGCGTTGGGTCTCGTGCTGGATTTCCGTGCGCCGGGGAGGAAAGGACGGTGGCAAAGGCACCGCCACTCTTGCTGCACCTCCGGGAGGGCCGTTGGATGAGTTCCTCGCCCACCTTTCAACAAGGAGACTCATGAATGCGAAGGGGGAAGGAACAAAATAATAATAAATAAATGGGTTGCGACATCAGCAGGGGCCAAAGCCACCGGGCAGCCGTTTCTCTCTTACCTTTAGTGTCATTCACTGGATCCATGTGCCTGTAAATGTATCCTTCTAGGTAGGAATGAAATTTGGGAGTGGGTGGGAAAAAGGCCAAACAAATGGCCATGAGCTCCCAGCCCCGGGCCAGGCTCTCGTAACGGAAGTTCTCGGTGGTCTGCCGGCACAGCTGGATGTAGAGCTCGTCTCTCAGACCCTGCATGCTCCAGCCTTTGGTGGCGATCTCCAAGGCCACGTTGAGCTGGTCCGTCTTGGCCCGCCGATCCCCCATGTACATCTGAATCAGTTTAAATATCTCGCACGCCTCTTTCTTGACGTTGCGGTCGTTGGTCATGATCATGGGTTTCTTGATGGACTCGCTGCTCCAGGCCAGCATGTTGGCGATGGACACCTTCCTGCGGAAGAGCCCTTGGGTGTGCTTGTTGAAGTGCTTGGAGGCCCAGTTCTCAATGTCCGTCTCTGAGGAGGGCTTCCGCAGGTTGAAGGTGGGGAAGACACAGCTGGCGCTAGGCATCATGTTCCTGGTCTGTCTGCTGCTCTCGAACTGGGCGCAGGCACCGAGATCCTCTGACTAGGAGACAACAGCCAGACAAGTCAAGGTTACTAACAGCATGGCCTCACCACCAAACCAACCAACCAACAAGCCAGCCAACCAACCAACCAACAAGCCAGCCAGCCAACCAACAACCCAGCCAGCCAACCAACAAACCAGCCAACCAACCAACCATTACAGCATCAAGAGCTTGCCCCACGCTCAACCCAAAAGCTACGTCCTCTCCAAGGAGCTGCTCCTTAATCCCATCATGGGCAAGCGGAGCTGGCCTGGCGCCAGCGGCCAGGCAGCTCGTGGCATTGGTCGGCATCGGGAGGGAAGGGACCAGTGGGTGGATAAGCGAAGCCACCCAAAAGCTGATGTGCTGGACTCCGTTCACACCTGGGACCCCAGTTTGCACTGAGGCTTTGCAGTCATGGACAGAAGAAGCTGGTGGCTATCAATAAGGTGGGGGAAGCAAAGGGCAAGTGGCTTCAGGTTCCACCAGTCCTTCGGGCACACCGGGAAGGGGACACACTCACCTGTAACCAGCCCCCCAAATAACCCCTTCTCCGCAGAGCCACGTTCGAGCATGGTTCTCCAGCGGCCACATACCCAGCAGGAGGCTGGTGGCTCCTCCAAACCATGATCAAAATGGCTGGTGTTCCTTTATATCCCACATGCGGAGGGACACAAGCTGTCCAGGATCTAACCTGCAGAGCACCCAGCCGGGTAGGACCTCTGCAGAGCAAAGGGTACCCCTTGCAAAGCAGTGCCCTTCTACTACTGGAGCCAGCACAGCTTAGGGATATCACCCCAGGAGGTGGAGGGACACCCAAACAGCTGATGACCGGCATGGAGAAAGGCAAACAAGGACACTTGGGATGGACTGCTCCCCGGTCTGCAGCCAGCCAATGTGGCTTCATCGTCTGTCAGCTCCCTCTTCTGCAAATGCAAGTCCGGGCCAGCATCACCTGGGTTTGGTGGCCCTGGGGACGTGACTCATAGGCAGGCAGGAGGCGAGTCCTTCCCATCCAGAGGTGACATTGCTGTCCCCACCTTGCGCAGGGGAACCGTGTCGGTGGCCCCGAGCAGGGACCATGTGTGAGGTGACTGCAACAGTGCCACGGCCTTGGGGCTGGGCTTTAGATGAGGAACAGAAGAAGAAAAGCAGGAGGCAGAACCAAGGTGGAAAGAGCCAGGGCCATGTGGAGGTGGCAAGTCCAGGAGGAGACAAGGAAGCCACCCAAATTGCCACTACAGCTGCTGGTAGACAACTGAGCCTCTGCTTCATCAAACAAGTCAAGGTTCTTGTCTCTTCGCTCAACAGCTCGTCCCTTCCCAGTGTTGAGGTCTCCTCTTCTTACTGACATCACTCAGCTCCCACCTTGCACCACGGTGATGACAGCAGGGACCTGGCCATGGGGACACGGGACCTTCACCTCTTGAGGGACCTCACCCTGCCTTTCCTATGGACACCAGATCACCCAAAAGGTCCTTCTGTGTCCTCCAACCTGCTGGTCAGTTGAAGGCACGTGGGGTTTTCTGGGTGGAAGGAGATGCAACATTTGCTCTGAGGCTTCTCGCTTAGCAGCCATTGGTGCCATGGCTCTTCCAGAAACCAGTCCACGAGCTGGGCCACAGCCACGCTGTTCACCCAGGGCACCCACAGAGAAGCAAAGGACCACGTCAGCTGGGGACACCAGCCTTCTCCACACATCCACTCCAGCGGACAGTGTGGGCAGGCTGGGGAGTGACACAGGCAGCAAAATGCGATGGATCCTCTACTGCTAGTGCCAATATAAAATTAGCCCCAATTAGCACAGTCCTAAATGAACTAGACCTACAACAAAGGGATAAGCAACTGGGTGTCAATGGCAGCTGGCCATGACCTCCTGGCAGGGTGCTGCCGCTGCCCGTCCCGTGGGGTGACCCTCCTTTCAGCTCAGGGATTAGGGGAACACTCAAACCCAGAAGCAAACTCAAGCATGCTGTGGGGGAACGAGGTCCTGGTGCCACGTGGGTGGGGTTCAGATGCACCCCCGTGCGGGGCCAATGTGGGGACACACCATCGGTGACACCGGCCACGTCCCCGTCACTTGTGCCGCTCCATCACATCTCCTATGTGCTTCTCTCCTCTGCCAGGTCTCCGTATCTCCCTGCATGTCATCCTCAGTGTCGTTTTGTTCCTGTTTTCTTCTCCGTTTCTGGCACATCTTGCTGTCATGGACAGCGTGATAAACCTCCGCACAAAGCTCCCACCATGGCCGGTCGCAGGTCTGGGCCCACTGCAAGAGGCTTCCACTCCAACCAGCAATGAAGGTTCCCCAGCTGATGGGGGCATAGGAAACCAAATTAAAATCATGCGACAATCTTAGACATGATCATCAAATGGTTTGGGTTGGGAAAGACCTTCAAAGGTCATCTAGACCACTCCCCTGCAATGAGCAGGGACATCGTCAACTAGATCAGGTTGCTCAGAGCCCCGTCCAACCTGACCTGGAATGTTTCCAGGGATGGGGCATCGACCACCTCTCTGGGCAACCTGGGCCAGTGTTTCACCACCCTGGCTGGAAATCTGCTCTTCCTGAGCCTGAGGGCAACATCAGACAGGGGCAACCAGACAGAAACACCTGGGCAGCAGAAGAGAGTCCCACTACCTCCCGAGCTCCACGCAGAAGGCATAGGATCACTAATGGTGGCAGCTGTTCCTCCTGGCCAACGTGAGCACCCAAAGCAGATTTGGAGCTCTTCGGTTTTGGGTTTGAACCTCCTTGTGCGGCACCGAGTGCTTGGGGACACTTGTGCATGGGGAATATTCTTCTGCTGCCTTTGGTTGCAATGCCCCATTGTTTTCCTTACACATTCCCATAGGCAAAAAAGGGATTTTCCAGATTATTTGCTGTTTCCCAGGTCCACGTCCAGGATCTCCTCCTTGCTGATACCAAGCTCCATCTTCCAGGCAGTTTTCGAGGTTGGATTGCTCTTGCCAGGGTAACTATCCCTGCACACAGCATCATCAATCCATTTTTAAAAAGCCATTATAGCCTTTCCTAGTGTCCTTACATGAACCTTTGATGTATCCAAAAGCAAATCAAGTGGTCTTCCTCCGGTAACCCTTGTCTTCACCTCCCCACCTCTGCAGCCCACCTCTGGGCTTTTCTGGCTGCGGAGACATGGGCAGCATCACTGTCTTTGCCCAGAGCGGGGCACTACAGGTCAGAGGGGCAGATTTTGGGTGATGGATGCTAGAGGGGAAAGGACATGAGAGCTGAAAGCCTGAAGCCAGGAGCTGCTGCTGGTAAACATCTGATGGGCTGGAAGATGGGCACAGGGGATGCATCAGCTCCAGCAGGTCCAGGTCAGAGACCATGGGGGGCTATCAGCAGCAGGAGGGCTACACCCTCACAAAAATGGTCTGTGGGAGCCCCAGGAGCTCCTCTGGGATGGGAGCTTGGGGCAGGAGGGGTCTCCAGGACCGGGGCGGCTCAGTCCCAGGGAGGGAACAGGCAGCTCAGAGCCCTGGGAAGCAGATCGTGGAAAGCTGGTGTGCCTGTGGCTGTTTCATCCCAAGGTTTTGAGGGACCAGCTTGCTACGGAGCAACTTCTTTGAGGGATCAGCTTGCTATGGAGCAACTTCTTTGAGGGACCAACTTGCAAAGGACCAACTTCTATGAGAAAGCAAATCTGGCAGCCAGATCAGCAGTGCTGTCAATCCCAACATGCCAGGGAGAAGACAGAGGCAGGACCTCTATGGGGTGCTGCCTGTGATCAGATGGGACAGCCTGCACCGGTGGGACGAAGCTCCTCAACTTACTTTCAGTACTCACTGGGAAAAACTCCTGCCGTAACCAGAAATTGCCTCGGAGTTACTGGTGGGTCCAGTGATGGGTTCAGCCACCACCTGGATGGCTGGAGCTGGGATTGGTGGGTCAACACCCCAACTCAAACGTGGCGCTGCCCATCCCTGCTCACCACGAAAGCCAAGGGCCAGCGGCGCTGCTCCAGCACCTCGAACCGCTACGGCCTGGAACAACCTGGTGAGCAAACCCTCATTTCTGGCAGAGGACCCCTTTGAAAATGGAAGCAGGTGGAGAGAGCAGAAAGGGGCTGATGTTTGATGCCTTTTACACACCCTGGCCATCTCCCCTTGCTCTGCAGAAGGGACATCCCTGCTCACACGTCTCCTACAGCTGGATGGGGACCGGAGATGGCATTTTGGGCGTCCCCAGAATCCAGCGCTCTCGGAGGATGCTACGAAGCCCAGGCTGAGCCACCGCAGGCTTGGTAGGGGAAATCTCCTGCACTGCCGCCGTCTGACGGTGACATGACGTGAAATGCAAGGAGATGAGTTACTGCAGAGCCCACGAGCCCCGTGCGTGTGCCGGGAGCACCGAGCACAGCCGGGGACGGGTGCTGGGGGTCCAGGAGCTGGCTCCCACCGAGCAGCAGCCAGACCGAGGGAGGAGAAGCAGCACCCGAAGCTGCGGCACAGGGCTGGGGCTGCCACAGCACAGAGGTGCCCGTGCGGCGCTCGGTAGCTATGAAAGCGTGGGATTGCCCTGGGGACCATCCCGCTGGATCTGCAGCGGAGGCAGGGATTTAAACCGGCTTTACAAGAAGAAGGAGCTTTAACCAGGAGGGCGGCAGGGACGCTGCGCTGCCACGCGGTGTGGTCTGACTTAACCCGGTGCGGCACCCGAGGAGATGCCGAGCGGCGGGCAAGGGTTGGTGGTGTGGGGCACACGGTTAAGCCCCCCCAACGCTGAGGACATCCCCGAGGACGTTACCTGAGATGGATGCAGGTAGGGCTCGGGGGAGGCCAGGTTGGTCTGCACGGAGACGCTCTTCTCCAGCAGGATCTGGGGGAAGCCCAGCTTCTCGAAGGTGTTCCTTTTCCAGTGCTTGTTCTCCTGCTGCGCCAACGCCTCGTCCTCGCTGAAGGCTCGCACCACCGGACCCGGCATGGGCAAAGGGAGGGCACCGTCGCTCTCGTAGCCCGAACCGTCCTTTTGGGAATCCCAGCTGCTCCGTTGTTTCATATGGTAGTGGGCTTGCTGGGCTTCCCAAGCCAGGCGTGCCTGTGCCAAAAAGGGCTCGGGGAAGCCCCGTGCCGCCTCCGCCTCCGCCGCCTTGCTCTCCGTACGGTTCATCGGTGACCTGTTGGGTCCCGGGGTGGCTCGTTCCTCACCCAGCATCTGCTCGCCCAACACCTCCCGGTCCCCCGAGCCATCCGTGGAGGAGGCGTTGGGGTCGTGCGATAGGGAAGGCTTTCGGCTTTTCCTCTTTCTGGTGGAGGGTGAGTAGCCGGTGGAGGACAAAGTGTCCTGTTGGCTGGACCACGACATGGAGTCCTCGCCCTGGGCCACCTGGCCACCCGTTGGGCCAGGGCAGAAGTCGGGTCCCTCCATGCTGCTGTAGTCACCCGATTTGATCTCCAAGCGTTGGTCCCGGACCAGGCAGGGGCTGTGCTGCAGCGAGTAGGAGCCACCGATGGGGTTGGGGGAATATTTGTGCCTCAACCCCGTCTTCATCTTGGGGCTGGAGCCCGACTGCTCGACGTAGACCAGTTGCCTGACGTACTCCTTGCCGGCGGGGCTGTACTCCAGGCTCATGAACCGGTCGGGACACTTCTGTTTGGTGAGCACCAACTGCTGGTAGGGTGAGTTGGAGCCTTGCTTGGGCGATTGCAGGAAGGGGTGAGGTTTACGGATGGGTGATTTCTGCGGCGAGCCGGCTTTGTAGCTCCCGCTGGCTTCGTACTGCATGTCCACAGGGGGTTCATCATAGATGGGAGCCTGGTACTCCATGGGGGGTTCCTCATAGAGGGGGGGCTCATAAGCGTAGCGGGGCGAGGAGGGTTGCGACTCGCTGGAGTGCTTGCGGTGCTGGGCTTGGAGCGGGGAGCAGAAGGAGTCCCCCCGGCCGAGCAGCGGCGAGCAGCTGCCCACGTGCTCGGCCCTCTTCAAGAAGGGCGACTGCTTCCTCTCCGGGAAGAAAACAGAGTTGTCGGTGTCGGGGGCGAAGGTTTGTAGGTTGGGCGACTGTTGTCCCCCCGAGGGTCGCCGCGAACGGGTGCCCGGTTGGTTTTCGGGGGTGTAGCCGTTGCCTTGGTGCATGAGGAAGCTGGGCTCGCGGTCGGTCACTTTGATCAGCATCCGCTCCTTGGTGCCGGCGTTCCATCGCAGGGACGACGTCCTGCGGGGAGAAACACAGCACCGCCATCAGCGAGGAAAGCCCCCCGTGCCCACAGGTGGGCAGACTCCCCCGAAATGCTGCCCCGAGACCTCCCCAGACCCTTGGCTGCAGCAGAGCCCAAAGGATGGACATGCCCGAGCACCCCGAGCCTCTCCCATCAGGTGAAGACCACACTGGTGATAGAGAGACCAGGGCATTGTCACCGTCCCAAACGCAGTGGGCACCAGCCCGCAGCCCCCCCCCGGCTCCCACAGACCTCAGCAACCCCCAGGGTGCACGAAGGACACGCAGGTTGGAAAGCCAAGCCCTGAAAAGCGATGACACCCCTTGGGGTACATCTCTAGGAGACAGCCCTGACTCAGCCCTCCCCGCTCGTGCCTTGGTGCTTCTTAGAGCCGAACGGCGATGGAGGAGCGAGCACAGCCACCCGCTGGGGACAAGCCTTGGGGCAGTTGTACGTTGGGTGACAGTTTCATGGGTGTTTGGGAATGCAGTCCTTGCAGGGACTTGTCCCATCCCAGGGCAAGAAGGAGAAGACATGTACGCACAGCACCATCTCTCCTGCCTCTTCTTGCTTTCCATTCCCTGCAGCACGCAGGATTACCCCATCTCACCCCCTCCATCCAGCCCCCTGCCCGGGATTAACACCCTCCTCCGGTTCCCAGCTGGACCTGGGTTATGTTAAACCCAGGAAAAAACAATAATCCCAAGCATTGTTTAAAAAGAAATTGAAGGCAAAAAGCTTCAGACTTTACCCCCTCTGTTGCAAAGGGAGTCCACGGTGGGGGGACAGGGCAGAGGACTGAACCTCTGCCTGCGGTTTGGCTCCTTTGGGGATGCTAAATAGCTTGGGGAGGGGGCTTGAAAACACAACCCTGACCTGTGCAGAGATGTCCCAGCCGCACGAAACGCGAAACCCCACTGCCTCGTACCCAAAGGCCGTGGGGCAGCTCCTTGTGGCAGCACTGAAGTGGAGTACTGACATGCTGGGGCAGGGAGGAGAGGGACAGCTTAGCCAACTGCCTAAACCCACGTGACAGATGGACACCTCAGTCTCCAAAGGGATGGAGCACAAACGCCGCAGGAGATGAGAGCAGCAGCTGCCCTCCATCCCCTTCATCGCCCCCAAAAAACCCTAGGGCCAGCCCTGGATGAGCATCTCACCACAGCTGTGAGGATGTGCAAGAGGCACATGGAGAAGCGAGCAAGAGCTGGAGCTGCGGTGGCAGATGCCCACGGCTTCCATTTCTTGATGCTCAAGCTCACTGCGTCCCTCAGCCACTTTGCATGCCACGTGATGATGCCCTGCGCGCTTCCACTGAACGTCTTTCAACGTGGAGCGTCCTACAGCATCTTGCTGTTGTCCGACTCGCAGATCCTGTACCTGCACACCCCAAACCCACACAGCATCGGGCTGGAAACTGCCTGGTGGAGCCTGTTTCATACGTATGACATGCACGTGTCAGCAAGTGCCAACGCGGACCTTCTTAATTCTGAGATGTGAATAATCATCCCTAAATCGCCACCCAACAGGCAGCTTCTGTGGCACTCCTGGTGCAAGCACGGGTGAAAGCTCAGCTGGGCAACGCGCTCAGGGCACCAGGAGCTCACTCAAGCAGGGCTTAGTGGAGATGAGCTCGTCCACATGTGGAAAAATCCTGGAGCCTCCAACCAGAGCCAGGAGGAGACCTCCTTCACCTCTATCTCAAGTCCATCTTCTTGTTAAGGCATTTGATAGTCCTGGTGGGTAACATCTCCTCTGAATAGCGACGCATCCCGCAAAGCTGGGTCCCCCATCACTGATGCTCCAGCAGCATGTCCACAGGTTCTCCGTTTCAACCCCAACTGCAATTTGCAATGAATCAAAGAGGTTTTTTTTTTCCTCTTTATTAATAATTCACGGGCAGAAATAATTATAATCTCAGGATAATCTTGGCCCTGCAGGATTAACTCCCTGGAAATGGGTTGCAGGGAGCTGTGCGACCTGGGCAAGGCTGGTTGGGCTCCATCTGGCCTGGTCAAACCTTCCTCTCAGGGCTGCTCTGTGTCCTGGGATAAGCAAGAAAGCCCAAGAGGTGGGGAGCAACTCAACCCTTCTCAAATGAATCCACCTCTCCTGGGGCAGCTCCGAACTGGCAGATCATCCACCGTGGAAAAACTGCCCCTCTACAGGAGGGTGGACATCAAGACTTGGACTGACTCACTACCTCAAGTTACCACCTCGTCACAAAAGTAAAGTATCAAATACTCAGAGGAGCAAAACTTCACCAAGCTTGGGCTTCAGCCTTAGACATGTCTATGCTGCTCCAGCCTCAAAGGCAACTATTACTTCGTTTGGGACGTTGCCCACCACGTTGCCAGCGTGCTGCTGTCAGATGGGGAGTAGGAGAAAATAATTTCATAACATCATCATAAACTTGGGCAAGAGCCAGGAAAGAAATCTCCCAGCAGTAGGATGTGACGTTGGAGCTGGGCAGAGATGCCTCCATCCCTGTCACTCCCCAAACTGAAGGCACACCAGGGATGTGGTTTGCACCTTGTTCTCCCCCAAATGTTGGGTGACCTTTGGGGACTAACCCTTCTTCTGTGCTCCATGGAGCCCGTTGGTGGGAAATGCGCCCATCAGGAAGGGCAGGAGCTGGACACCACTGGCTGCAGCCTTGTCACCTGGCTCAGGTTCATTCTCCAGGGCTGTCCCAATGCACAGCATCTCCAATGAAGGACACAGTGACCTCACACCATGAAGACTTGGCCCAAGAATTGGCTCACGCTTCTCCTCCTGCCCCCAAAAAGCAGTTGAGAGTATGAGACTGAGTTACTGCCAGCTCCATACTGGATCTCTTGAACCTGGTGACCCACAGCTTTCATTGACTCCAGGTCACTGGAGCCTCTTCTCATGATGAAATCCCAGAGATGAGAGAGGTTGATGCCCAGCAGAAGAGGGCCTTTCCACTCCTTTTTGGCAGCATGCACCATCTCCAGATGCCCCACCACCAGCACAGCTCTCAGAGGTCACAGTGAGCAGCCCACCAGCCTTGGCCCCAGTTCTGGTGCCAAAACACCCCATTTGACATCTTGCCCAATGCACATTTCTCACCACTCACCACTCTCAGTGGATCTCGTGGATCCTAAGAGCTGGAGGCAGCCCTCCTTTTGCCAAGTTACCCATTAAATAAGAATTAAACCTTCTACCCTGCTTTTGTGGAAGCACATCTACAAGCGAGATCTTCTGCATCATGTCCTGAAGGTTGAAGATGGCTCCTTGTGTCTTCAGGAGGACAGCAGAACCATTAGCTCTGGCCAGCTCATGCTGCCTTCCCCACTCCTACCCGCTTAAGACCATGCTTTGATTTTCTTCTTTGCTACTCCAGTTCTCACCAGTCTTTCCCACCTTGTCCAAAAGATTTCATGGCCACTGGTTGGGGGGCTCTGCAAGAAAAGGCTCTTCTGCCCCTGCATGGCCCAGCGCAGTGGAGTGGCACATGGATCACCCCAACTAACAGAGGTTTTTCATCTGCTCAGTCCATGTTTCAAGTCCTTGGGAGATGCCATCCAGGCAGGGGACACTCAGGAGGAAGAGCAGAGGTGGTTTTTATGGAGGTGCCGAAAGCATCGCCTGCCTCGCAGGAGGGATCTGTGCTGGAGTTCGCTGCTGTCTCCAAAGCACAGGGAAGCACATTTTGTTATCAATTCCTCTCCGAGTCCCACGCTGGCACAGAAGATACCCGAGGCACCGTCTGCTCTCCCAGTTCATTCCTTTCTCATTCTCAGTTATTTTTTCACAGCCACTTGTCCTTTCTGTCCTTCAGAAAAAGGTGGAGTGAGTCCAATTACCGAGTTTTGCAGAAAAAAGCCCACAAAGAGGCATATATAAATATCTCCCTGCATGAGGCTCCACTATCTCCCAGCACCCTGCTCGTTGCTTGCCCATGACTTTGTCTTTGCTCCAGGGGGTGTGGGGAACAATTTGTTCCTTCCCTTTCCGCAGCAGCCTTTCGAGCTCCTGAGGACTTGAGCTTCCTGCCAGCTTCTTGCCATTGAAGACCTGCACGAGTTTGGGTCCCTCCATGCTGATTGTTGGATCTCAACCAGTCATTGAGCCCTTCCAGACCCCCGAAACTCCCTCCACAACCATAGCAGCACGCCCAGACCAGCATAAACTATCGGCGCAGGGTGACGAGGGAAAGCCTTGCCGGGTCAGAAATGCCAAGAAACGCTTGGCTGCATCGCCCAGCATCAACAAACCAAAATGATGAGTGAGGTGAGAAGATAGATCTGCTACGGAGATCACCAAGGACTGATTTCATCCCCCGCCCGCTCCATCATTAATGGGCGGATTTCCTACCAGCACCGGGGCAGCGGGTCCGGAGGCAGCGTGATACCAGCAGGCAAGAAGGGATTATGAACCCACCAGCAATGAATCACCATCCCACTGCTGCATGGACGTTAACTGAGGTCTCCTCTTCCTTCATCAATTATCTGACCACAGAGGACGCTAATTTATTTTCACCATGGTTACTAACTGCAGTAATTACAGCCTTGGTCACTGGCCTGCCCTTAATATTCTTCAGCAACCACTGCTGGCTGCATGCCTCCTCCATGGACATCATCCTGGTCATGCCACCAAATTAGCGAGCTCAAGGTCCGGTTTTCAGGTTGGGAAGCCCAAGGTGCTCTTGCAAGGATGCAGCTTGCTGCTTAACCCACCCTGCGGGACCCAGCACGTCCTCATCACCTCCGCTCTGGCTCACGCTGCCAGTTAGGACCACGGTTGAGCAGCCACCAGGACAGATGGGGACTTGCATCTTGAGGATGACAAACTAGAAGAAAAAGGGATGGATAATTGGACTAAGGCTGGCCAGGAGCCAGGGGAATCAGACCTGGAGTGATGCGGCAGGGCTGCCGGACTGGGACACTCCTGCTCATCTCATGAGGGCTGTGGGGCACCAGTTCTGGGTTCCTCATGTGCTTTTTGATGCTTTCAGTGCTGGCTTTCCCAT